TGCTACATTACGTACCAGAACATTCTGTTCCACAGGCAATATTGGAATGCTTTATTTTCTGTTAAGGTTTTCAGGAACAAAATCAATTTTTGTTCTGTTGTGAACATTATTGATCTCCATGTACCAACTAAGAGAATTAGTAACTTTTCACTTGCGGTGTAAATAATGCTTCAATTCCTTTATCAATGTGCGTCAGTGCTACAAAGAGCATGTACAAATTTCTAGATTTTTCCAATAAGTACACTACTTCCCTTAAGGATATATGTCCCATTTGAGTCCTATTTTTGTTAACATGCTATTTGTTTTGTTTTAGTTTAGTATTTAATTCTTAATCTCTTTATAATTAAATGTACATATACAGCGCTCATCTGCTATATGCTACTTGGTGTTAACAGGCACTCAAATAAGGAAATGAACTAAATTATTGTTATTGTAACCTAATAAAATGCATCCACCCTAGAAGTGACAAAGGACTTGCCACACATTAACAAACACAATTTTCAGCTGTAGCACGAAGGTGTACGGCTTGCTTTTTTTCTTTGTCAGAAACCTCGAAATTTCCGCTCTCTTGGATTAGCCCCACAGGAATACAAATGTTGTGGTGATGTCTAATGAGCATAGAATGGTCGATACCTGACAAAGTCAGACGATAAACCAGACATGATCTTAATGAGAATGCTTAATAGCTGTGTCTTGGTCTCTGAACAGTTAAATTGGTTAGTACCACACATTTATCACAGTAAACCTAACCTTACCTCTGACTCCGGCACTTCGTCTACTCCGAGTTAGCCAATCCCAGCAGACAGCTAACCGCTTACTCAAAGTTATGTAATAATTCCGCAGTTTACATCAAATTGTCAAAGGATTAAACGCAGCCAACTTGATATTCATGTAGAGTTATGTTGGTGTTTCTTGTCGTCAGCTTTCCTTTCTTTCCACCATCAATTTGTATTTTCCTTCCTTAAACTTTTCATTCTCCCCCACTTTTTTTATTTTCTTTCCATTCATCTCTCTTTCATCTGTCCTTGATTTGTTTTCTCCTTCCTTATTTCCCTCCCTTTACTTTTTCGTTCTCCCATCCTTTTCTCGTTCATTCTTGCTTTCATCCACGTCTTCCTGCTTTTCCTAATTCCTCCCCATCTTCGTTTCATCTAATCTTCCTCCCTTCCTATCTCTCTTTCTTTCTCCTCGTTATTTTCGTTCTTACTCCATCCTTTATATTTTCTCTCCTTCTTTCCGTGTCGTTACGTTATCTTTTTTCCCTTATGCTACTTTTAAGTTTCTCGATCAAGTTGAAAATTAGTTTCATATCACTATCGAATTTCTGTGCATTCTACAGAAACCGAAAGCATAATAGTGATGTCGCTAGTTCACTTGAGCTTTGTAACCGTTCCACTACTGTAAGCAAAGCGTAAACTCAAAGTTCAGTGGACAGGGCGTCTATATTTAAATGTAGTATGGCTCACATCACGTAGGTTATATGAACCTTGCGGAACACACAAAAGCCCCATTAAATCTAGTGCACACACATATAACCCTCAACTCAGAGAACATACGCAATACTGGAGCGCGTTTTGCCGAAGAAGGTTCATTGACATGAACAATTTCAAAACAGTTCGTTTTTGAGCAGAATTCTGGATTTCCCTTCATTCCGTATCGCCAAAAATTAAAATTATTGTAAAGTTATTCCAATAAAATGCAAAATCCTATGATGTACAGTTAAGTTTTTTTTATTATTATTTTCCTTGGCACTACAGCCCCAGTGGGCCTAGGCCTACCTCCATGAACTCCGTTCACTTCGGTTTTTCTAGATCTTACACATTCGGTAGGACTCCTTGGGCGGGTGATCAGCTCGTCGCAAGGCCTCTACCTGTACACAAACAAAGAAAAACGCACACATACATCCATGCCCTGAGTGGGATTCGAACCCACGATCCAGGCTTCCGAGCGAGCAAAGACAGTGCATGCTTTAGACCGCTCGGCTACCGTGACCGGCGTACAGTTAAGTAGCCTATCAAAATTCCTACTTAATTAACACAGTAATTAAACCCTTGGTATAGGAAATGTTTCTTGAAAAACTGATGAATGTTCATTTTACTTACATTTAATCGAAGGTTAGCTGTCGACTTCCCATGAAGACGCCATTGTAACTTATCCTGGGCAGTTAATTCAGCCTACACTTCCAATCCTTATTTCTTCAAGATCCATTTCAATATTACCTTCTCACCAGTGGCGTCTTCCTTTCTAGTTCGCCGACTATAAGCTTTATACTTTTTTGTCTCGACAGGTGTGCCCCGATCAGTCAATATATCCTTCTTGATTCTATCGCAGAAATAATTTCATTAAAATGATGCAGTTATCCCTGGACTAAATTAATTAAACGCCACGCCATTTATGGAGGAACAGAGGTATGGCTCCGCCCTTCTTGACCTCGGAACTAGACGAAGGTGAAATTTCAGTTTCAAATCCCTGAAACATTAAACCTGGAACAGGGCCTCCTTTACTCACTGGAGAGGGAGAATGGTAGGAACCAGATCAGTCTGGACTTCATAGAGAACAGAAATATCGTAGCCCTCTGTATTCTCTGTATTCGCTAGTGGGGGTGGGGGGAGTCCAGCTGGAAGAAAGATTTGTTTTTAAAATCGTAAAATAAATGGAAGGTATTATTTAAACTGGGCACTTAGACTGAAGAATGGAAGAGAAAGGTATTAACACGTGTTTAGTCAAATTTGAGAGCAGCTAGTAAGATATCCACATGTCCTCAGGATATTACAGAAGAAGGAGTTCATCTAATTCTCGAACTAAATGCTTAAGTTCCACCATTTCTCACAATTATACCGAAGTCTTTCTCTAAAGAAACCCCAACAAGCATTCCTATCGATTAATATTGATTTGTATATAATAAGAATTCTTTAGTATATGTCAAATATCATAGGTATAGAACGCTAAGCCTCCACAGTGTCGAAACTTGTTTTGGGGCTCGCTCAGCCTCCTATCCAATGGGTACTTGGGCTCTTTCCCCCAGGCAAAGCGGCCGGAGTTTGAAGCTGACCACCTACCTCTAACTATTGCCGAGATTAGGAATACGTCATCATGACGTAGTGATTAATTAGCTACGCACTTGAACAAATTTATTTGTAATGTAATGAACTGACTTTTTATTTATAATGGTTAACATTGTAGTTATTTTGCTGAAATTTCAGATATGAATGTTTTTGTGAATAGGCAGCACCGAACACGCGTTTCCTTTGTTCTATTGTTCTTCCTGGTAGGCTCGGTCTGAATTCTCGTTGACACTATTGTTCGTACGGAAAGATGGGTTGTTTTGTTCGCTTCAACGATATGCTTCTTACCGAGTGGTTCTGTTCTCTGCAAAGCATGTAAAGGGCTCCTACGTTTATAAAAGTATTTTTACTTGTTTTATACATTTTCGAGGAACAATGGTTTAAGATGCCATGCCTCAAATAGTTGCGCAAAATTATTTGCCAGCAGAATTTTGCAATAAAATCTCCATGGAGTGGAGTCCTGCTTAAGACAATGATTGTCGCTTGGTAGGTCAAGATATTCCTCACATTTTACATAAACCGTAGGTACATATTGTGTTGACATGTCCTGCCAAAGAATCCTAAACTTATCCAGATGAATCCTCTCAGCATCCTTACAATTGTTGCTTTAAAAGCCGTCAGAATATTATCCTCCCATGTTCGCCCGCGTCTCTGCCCTTCAGGATTAAGATTAATTTGTCCCTGCGCGTAACTAATTAAGCACTACGCTATGAAGTTGTGTGGGGAGTGGATGTATTACTACAAACGACGCTACAGCTCAGTTTGGGCCTTGCAGTTTCCAAGACATGATTCCATTCCCTTGTCCAACACCCTTCGGCTCCATCCTCTCTCTGTCTCTCTCTCTTGTTGCTCCCACTGTGGAGTATAAGGCATTCCTGAAACGTTTTATTTCACTTCAGTTTTTTAATCGTAGGACAACTGGTAGGACACTTGGACGGGGGATGAGCCCGTCGCAAGGCTGCTACCTGCCTAACTCGATAATCAGTAAAGTGTAATTCCTGATGGCCGCGCCATAGCTCAAGCAGTTAGTCGCTGGCTTCCCACCGCGGCGGCCCGGGTTCGATCCCCGGTCTGGTCAAGTGGGATTTGTGGTGGACAAAGTAGCATTGGGTCAGGTTTTCTCCGAGTACTTTCGTTTCCCTTGCCAATCTTAATTCCAATAAATTCTCCATCATCATAATCACCCGGGGCAGATGCAATAGGCCAATCAGTGGCCGCCGTGCCAAGTGGACCCAGTTGGACTCCACCACTCCCACTAAACGAATTTAAGAAAAATAGAAAAAGTGTAATTCTTCGTTTTACAATAAATAAAAGCAGGAATGCACACATCAGAGGAGAACGCACGTGGGGCACATTTTCCTTATATAAACTTGACTATCAACTGAGAGTGAAGATGAAAATGGTAAACTGCAGGAAGGGCATACAGAAGAGACATGAAGAAAGGACCGTCAAGAGGAGACCCGCAGCAAAATTTCGATCTTGTCAGAGATGAAATAAGATACAGACGGAAAATTCCACAGTAAATCTGACCAGTCTTGAACTCGAGACTTTCTACAAGAAAGGTCATCTCGAATAGGCCGCACCATAGCCCAAGCTGTTAGTCTCTGGCTTCCCACCGCTGCGGCTCGGGTTCGATCCCGAATCTGGTCAAGTGGGATTTGTGGTGGACAAAGTGACGCTGGGGCGGCTTTTCTCCGGGTACTTCGGTTTTCCTTGCCAATCTTCATTCCATCAAATTCTCCATCATCATAATCACCCGGGGCAGGTGCAATAGGCCAATCAGTGACCGCCGTGCCGAGTGGACCCAGCTGGACTCTACCCCCCACGAAGCGAAGAGAAGGTCAGCTCCTTATTTCCAGATAACCTCCTCCCCACACGTTAAACATTCAGAGAAATATCGTGGGAGTGCCTAACTTGTTGTTTGATGTGTTTCAGCATGGGGCCTCTATTCACCGCTACCCTCCGTCGAAATAGCCGTCCCAGTGGGCATCCCTAGCTCTGAGCCACTGTTGTCAGTGCGGACCCTACCTACAGAAGAACGGCCCCTGTCTTACCTTCTGAAGACTGAGCTTGGAGAGCACTGGTTCAGCATTAACAGGGCCACAGGAGAGCTCCGCCTGCATGAGACTGCCCAGCAGCGCATAGCAGAACATTCAGGTATTTCTACTGCAGCAGAAACCTGTTATATAACTCAGATATTAAAGCAATTAGCTACGGGCTCGATGTCTGGATTTCATATCCCGATAAATGTCCTTAAGAATTCGATCTCTTGTCTGGCCGCAAGTTACAAAACGAGAGACAAATAAAGATGAACACATGGTCTAAACTTGTGGGAGGAATTTACTCAATATAATACAACTTGTGTGTCTTTATATCAGTTTCAAAAGTTTTAAAATGTGAAGTATTTTTGTCCGTTTCTTGGATTTATTATTACTTTAGACTTCCAATTATGTGATGTGAAAATTTTATATATTTAAATTGGTATTTCCTCTGAAAAAATATCAAATAAATAAATTTATGCAGTAAAAATTATGAGAATTTTTGGTTTCAAAATTGGGAGGTGTTTTATTGCAACACTGTCTACTTCTCTTCTCGTTAAGTGCCGTCCCTCAGATTTTCAAGTTTCTTATGCAAAGTAAAGAATTCCTTCCTTTTCTTTGTGTAAACTGCATTTCCTTTGCTCTGTATTTCTTTACCCGTCGAATGTTTTCGTTTCTGTTTTCCTTTGAAACTCTTAAGTGAAATATGTACCTCAAGCTTACAGAAGGAAAGCATCACAGTTCGGCAATTTTGGAAGTTGAGTGGAAAACAGTCTCAAGCTGATTAATATTTTCTATGGCGAAATGATTTTCGTAATACTATCAAATAAGTAACTATTCACCATACGATACATTTCTAATCATAGAGGTGTTTAGATCCCTTGCCTAAACGTTCGGCCACACAGAGCGCTACGCTATGTTCGCCAGGTACGCTACGTACGCTACGTACGCTGTGTACACTCTGCGACGCAGCTAACATAGGGAACACAGCGTACGTAGCGTACGGAAGTCTGTGTGCCCAGTCACACTGGCACTAAAGGGAGATATTTTTCTGTTCGTATAGCGAACATAGCGTACGTAGCGCTCTGTGTGGCCGAACCTTAAGTCATCTATTAATTCCTTCTTTTTATAGTTTCGTCCTCTGGTAGTTCTTCGATTAAGTAACTGTTTTGGATGAACGTTGCATATTTTCGGGTCAGTCTTATGGTAGTTAGTTCTTTGTTTCAACACATTTTCAACAATATGTCCCATTTGTTTTATATATTAAAATATGCATGCACATTACCCACGGCGCATTCAAGTTTTTATACAAATCTCGACAGAAATAGTGATTATTTCTCCACGAAACACTACAAAATTTGACCCTATAATAGAGACGCAATGGGTTTGCTGTAAGATAGACAATGAATTTTTAAATGTTATTTAAATGTATTTTTTTTGCATATTTTACGTAAATGGTTAAGTTAAATATATTTGTATTTTGTTTCTTCCACAGTTGATATTTTATAACCGACGTCTCTATTATGAGATTATTACCGTGTGTAATTTTCGTTCAATGTAACGCAGACATATTCTGAATGTCTCCTTACTTGCGGAACTAATAGACTGTTACTCAGATCTATACTCTTTTAGCCTTTTGACTAAATTCGAAAGAACCGGATATAGGGCCTATAAGACTTGTACTATTATCATCATTAAAATTCGTTAATTTCATTCCACTTTGATGCTACCTTTACTAGTGGACACATGTAATTTCTACACATATCTTTGAAGCCTTGGACTTGCGAAGACTTAAATTTTATTGATATATAACATACGCCAGCCAAGTAATATGAATGCCATACCGTGCTTCTCACACTGTAATTTACTTTAATTATCAGTGACTTCCAGAGAGTGACTACGTGTATGGCTACAAGAAGAGTGCTTCCCCCTTCCACCGTCCCCTACCAGACACCTCGCCCCCCTGGTGCGTATATAAACAGAGTCGTAAATGAAAATCAGATTTTTAATGCCAGCCCCCAATTTTGAATTTTACCGCTCGTCTTATAGAAATTAATGAAACATCCCCTGAGGGTAAAGAAATGATTACCTCCCACATGTGCAACACACCTTAGTCTGCCGTGTTATACACACTTAGCAGTAAGTATTTTCTGTTTGTACAAGCTCCTTTCCAGTAGGTTAAGTTAGTAAAGATGTGTGCTTTGCTTCGTTACTTTGTGAATGATACTGCTCCAAGGAGTCAGTCAGTCAGCCAGTCAGTCAGTTAGTTAGTTAGTTAGTTAGTTGGTTAGTTTGTTATTGACCTGATATCTAACTAGCTAGGTAATTACCTAGATTTTGAAAATTTTGAAGTGAACCTTCACTCTAAGTCACTTTGTAACGAATAGGATAACGGATAAGTTGACCCTCGGTTTATTTATCGACTCTTTATCAGCACTGTGTCTATGAAGAGGTAACTGGCAAAAACGTGGAAATCTGCGGTGAAGTTTATATTGAAATACAACACCAGAGTTAGGTTGGACTTACTGACAGAAAGTGGCCGCGCCATAGCTCAAGCAGTTAGTCCCTGGCTTCCCACCGCGGCGGCCCGGGTTCGATCCTCGGTCTGGTCAAGTGCGATTTGTGGTGGACAAAGTGGCGCTGGGGCAGGTTTTCTAGGAGTACTTCGGTTTCCCCTGCCAATCTTCATTCCACCAAATTCTCCATCATCATAATCACCCGGGGCAGGCTACAATAGGCCAATCAGTGGCTGCCGTGCCGAGTGGACCCAATTTGACTCCACTAAGCGAATTTAAAAATAATACTGAGAGAAAGAAAGAAGAAGAAGCCTGTCGGGCTAGATTTGGATCCCAGACCTTAGGAAAAGTAGGAGGATTTCTACTACTATACAATTGTCTCGCGCAGTCGGCCACGATCAGCTCTGAACATTCCTCTCCCATTATCTCATTATCTGATGCGTCATCTCTTCTGGGATATGGCACTGTGTAGCAGGTGTTACCTGCTTCATGCTGATTTCTTGCTGGACTAATTTCTGGACTGGAGCGACATGTTTCACCGAATCGTCCCTTGACTTTCTATATGCTGAACAGAATTATATCCCAGAAGATAAAAATACTTCGTAACTATCACTGGGACAACCTCAAGCCCTATAATCCTCTTCATTCTACATTCCATAACGAGCAAGTGGACACAAACCGCACGTGCACCGTCCGTCCTGACTGAGGTTTCAGCAAATTTTCTTCATTTTTCCAGGCGAATGTTGAGACTGTAGATTTAACCAGGCTATAGCCACTTCCTCGAACGCTATTTCCAATTTAATTTTTTCAGCAACTCTATCTCCTGATTTGAATCTAAATAAATATCTCAGTTCGGAAAGTGTCGTTAAATACGTAATTAAATTATCCATCGCTTTGGACAACACATCTTCATACAGCTTAGAGGATTTAGATATTCACTTAATCTACATCAACAAACTTACATTAAAACTCACAGTTGTGCAATTAGATTTATATTGTTCTCTTCCGCATCCTATGGTTGAAGTGTGTGGATGTGAGTCAGTTCAGTGACGTGAGTGCAATCCTTGCCCGAATAAGCTAAACTATAAAAACTACTTCTAATTAATTAAGATTTCTAACTTGCCAAAGGACTTAAGCAGCTCGTTTGAAAAGACGGAAATATTTGTCCCCTCTTATCTACTCTGTAAACTTTGAAAATATCACGACCATTAATTTCTGAATGATTTGTTCACAATACGTTGATACTTGTGGATCAGTTTGACTTTCAGTGTGTGTTCTGATTGTCTCTGTTTAGGTCGGAAGGTATCCTTGAGCGTCAGGGCTCTAGACGACATTGCAGGCGCCGTGCCACTTATGGTGGTCAACGTCACGTTTGTTGAGGCAACGGAATGCGAAGAATTCAGTGCTCAGGTAGGCAAAACAAATTTCCTGCATATGAATGAACGGTTGTTTGGTTGATAGAACTGCGATCAGTCGGTTGTTCGGGTGTTAATTAAATCAACATTTGGCTGGCCGCAGAGTCTAACATTTGCCAAGCGGTCCGAGTGTGTGTGTGTGTGTGCAGAAGTTCACTTCTGGGAGTCACTACAAGATTTTCCGGGATGTAGGACTCGGAAGTTCAAATCCGGGGTGTATGTGTGAGGGGCGAGACCAGGTTTGAGCCAAGTTGCTTCATTCCTTGCCATATTACTTGTGTTCTTGCTTTGGTGTTCTTTGCTCGGCAAATCTGATATGGACACAGAGTCTAATGAAATGAAGAGGGTAATGCTGTGATTATGAAGGACAAGCAGCCGCCGTGAGCCCTGGTACAGTCTTGCAACACCACAAGTAGTCGTCTTCTCGTCAGGGACGAGAATGCATTAAAGAAATTCACAGAAATTTATAACACAACATACAAACTTCCACATGATTAGTGATTTACTGGCATTAAATAAACAAATATATCTACATTTCTCTCGATATTCATGGTTTTATTTGGCGTAATCTGCTGGGCAAAAGATAATTTCACAGAATGTTCACACTTTTAGAAAATTTGTTGTAATATAATTGTTCATGATTTATACTGAACTCCTCCGGTTTCGCTCCGCACACGGCAACTTTCACACTCGCCATGCTGGAATTTTTTAAACAGAAGTAGAACCCTTAATTAACGTCTATGTATGTCACAGTCCGTCAATAATGCAACAATGTTAAGTGTTAAATGGTAAAATTGGAGGAATAAAAAAAGGAACAATATTTGCATTATTGACGGACTGTGATATACATAGACGTTAATTAGAGATTTGCAACAGGATGCTGAAATACAGATCTATAACGCTCAAGTTGGAGTGGCTTCAAGTGTCATGACGTTTTCATTCAAGCCGGCAGTAGGAATTGGACGCTATTGCGGGGGTGGATAGAAAGCCAAATAAAAAGATGACAACAAGAAATATGCTATGTAAATCCAGCCCCTGTTCGAAACTCCGAAATTGAGAATATAATTTGGAAAGTTTCAAAGTACCACTAGTCAGAACTTTAATTTACAATTAAAAATACGCAAATTTCAGAATACAAAGAAGGGACACAGGCCCAAGTAAGCAAGCAAGCAGACATTTCATATTACACAGCCTGGCTTACAGGTAATTTCCTTAAATAGGCACATATGTATGTATTTATAAAACATAAGAGGCTTAAACTTGGAGGCGGTTAAATTTACAACCGTTTAAGTGACCAAGCTGCAGTTGTAGCTTAAGACAAATAAGGTAAATATGATCTGCTCTGCAAAGCCTGGACTGACTAAAGACTTACAACTTTATTTTTCCGTCACAACTCAACAACTAAGGAGTATCAAGGTCAATACCCAGCTATGCCTTACTACATGTTTCGGTCGTTAACGGCCATCATCAGGTGAATACAAATCAACAAACATATACTATTGAACTGTAGTAAAATTAGATACAATGACAAAATAGTTAATTGTTATGTGTAAAAATACAGCGGTCATTTATATATAAAACTGAAGGTTATAATATAAAACAAGATTAAAATTGATGTTTTGTAACATCTGATCAGTCGTATGTTTACTTCATACGTTCCGTGGACAAAATAAAAATTTAAGATTGTATTGGAGGCCCATGACCTTGTAAGTTAATTAATAGAGTAGAGGTGCCTCATCGTACGAAATAAAATGGCCGTACTGTATGAGGAGTAAACAACGACTGATCACATTTATCCCTTTGTTAGTTTGAAGTATCTATGAGAGAGAGGACCATAATACATTTTACAAAAGGGAAGAAATGATATAAGGCACACGTCCTCTGAAGTTCAAGAGTAAATCATTACAGAAAGCTAATTTAGCCTTGTTAGTTTGAATTGCTATCCAGAAATCTCTCATAACATTTCAGAGTCCAAGTCCAACCCACTTAGCGCCTAACACACTATGCTATTTATAGTTCGCACAGCAATCCCTATTTCTCTTGTTTCCTTAAAAGGGTGAAAGACTAAGTTCTCAGACCTGAACGTCCTTTGAAAAGTCTACTGTTATTCATCCTGTTTAAAAAATCATCTGGGCATCCCGAAAGCTCATTACCGTGTTTACAAAAGCCACCCATTGTACTCAACCCGACTCATTTTAATCTTCTTCACACTGTACCCATTTTCCCGATTATAAATTATGTTATACCGTTCAGTCTGTCGCGAAAGCTTAGGGTAGGATATTAACAAATCAGGATAAGACTTGCCCAGAAGACAAACTCATTTATCGGTAATGATTGAGAATTGTGTTGGAATGTATCGGGTTCGAAACTCTGTCAGAAAAAGCTCTACTTACTGTCGTTGTTCCTTGCTTTATACAGTTTCTGTAAGAACCTCCTAACAAAAAAGGCATTTCTTCGCCTTCTTTATAAGTACAACCTTAATCTTGCTGAAAACTGCGTAATTTCTTGAAGTTGATGAAATTGCCTAGTCTACGTTAAGATAACTACAAGTGCACATCATGTACTATCCTTACTAAAATTCTGTGTGATTTTCCTCCGTATTTGAAAGAAAATGCAGGAATATTAGCTTAAAATTTAGAGCAATCATCTCTCTCCGACTTGCGCAATTACTCCTGGTTGAAAATGGGCATATTTTCGTCATATATGACTTCAAATAGGTATGAAAATTATACAGCGTCGCTAAATAGCCCAGGACTTAAATTGTCGTTTCATCCATAATGACAAATGCGAGAGAGTCGAACTCTGTACCGTTTTAAATTCCTCCAACCTCAGCTTACATGATCGTTCTTCCTTCTCATACGAGCTACATCAATTCTGAAGGTCATGCACTGTCGTGTGTAGTAGTAATTAAACATAGCCAAATGTTGTTGGAACCTTTCGCTTGATATGATAATTAATACTGAAAATATTCCTGGATAGTTATTATGTACATAAAAACAACGTATTCCAGAATATATGTCCTTCGATTTCCTGATTTTTCAGAAACCTAAACTCGCTATCTCATTAAAATGAGATCAGTTTTTCTGAAAAGACAAAACCTGGTCTTTAAACTATCATTAATACTCTTGGAGCAATTATTTACCTTCGCGTGAACAATACCTCCAGATGAATTGGTGACCGTATATCAACAGGAGATAAACGTTTGTATAAGCCTGAAATAGCGAGTTCTACCCCATATGCTGCCCCCAGAGCATCACAGCAGTAACATAGGACACAGTGCAATGACACGTGTACATTATGTTTGGTAAACTCATGGAAAGTAAACACGTCAATTTTCAGTCCCCTAGTATGAATACAGTGGTCAAATCAATTACGATCGGATGGGCGGGCGGGGCATATGGAAAATATGATATGAACGAGAAAGATGTACAAAATTTCCGTTGGAAAACTTCAAGAGAACAGACCTAGGGACATTTAGAGAGACCTAGTAAGGCATAGGCGTACTGGAACGATAACAACGAAATAGATCTTAAAGAAATAGAGTTTAAGAATGTAGGCAAAATTCGTGTGGTTGAAGGTAATCAATTTTTAACGTGAGAATAAAAAATGATTCGTCATATTTGTCAGACTCATAGTCGAGCAATGAGACTTGCTAATTTGTTCTGACGTCAGTTCTAGGCATTTCTTAAATTCCCATTTCTGCCCCTCACAGTGGCCGCGCAGTCTAAGGTATGAAATGTCTACACCAGCTCAAATGTTGCAATCGTGAGTTCGAATCTCATTCGAGACGTGGATGTATATCTACCTTTTCCTTTCCTTGTGTTGTTCTGTATAGGTGGCGGTCTTGCGTCGGACTGATCTCACATATAAGGAGTCCTAACAACTGTGTGTAAGATACATAATTTAAAATTAATTCCGAATGGAATCAGCCCCGAGGGTCTAGTCAGTCAAAGTAGAAGAAGAGTCCCAGTCTCTTGCGACGGTCTATTTGTCTGCCACAGGACAACATATGTCCCTAATATAATAAAAATTTGCCACAGTGGTTAAAAGAGTTAAGGCGTGTACAGATTTGCGTCCTTCATTAATAGAAATTGCGAGTTCCAATTATTTTCGAATCGCTTTTATAGTCTGTGTTGTCTTGTGTTAAGAGGAATAACAAGGGATTACCAAATAATTTTCCGTTAAATCGAGGGTTTACTGTGATTTCAGAATTATGAATCGGAAATTCTAGAATGCTCTGTTCGTGACAGCTAGATAGGGAGCTTTAACACAAGCAGTTACACTGTCAGAAGTACCAGTGATATGTTCAGTTCATTGTTACCTTCTCCTCTCAAACCTATTAGAATTATCGCTTTGCAGATGACGGAACACGCTGTTATTTTGTGAAAATCTCGCCGTGCCCCTGCGGCAACATCGCTGACTTAGTTGCAACGCATGTAGTCTAACAGAAACTTTCAGGCGTATTTGGTCATTCTTTAACACAGCACAAAATTATTTTAAGTTCTCAAGTCTGTGAATATATAAAGAGTGTCCCCCCAAAAATGCACCCACTCTTTGATAGGAATCTCAAAATCGAGTGTCCATCGGATATTGAAGGGAGTCCATTGGAAAATATACATTCCAACATTAACCCACGTTCTCAATGAAGATGGTTCTAACCGGAGAACTGAATTTTGTCAATGGTACCTGGAAAAATGTGCGGAAAATGCAGCGTTTCCAAACAGAATTATCTGGAGCGATGAGGTCATATTTAAGTTAAATGGCACAATTAATCAACATAATTTCACTTACTGGGCTCCTCAAAATCCGCATATCTTCAAATTCCGAATGAAATGCTTCGTACAGTTTGTGATTCCATTGGTCCGCGTTATCAGCTCTGTCTGGATAATGATGGTCATCAGTTTGAACATTTGCGAACACGCAAGGTGCAGTAGACTTGTTTTCTTCAATTTAAATTATTAACCTTATATCTCTTTTAAAGAACATTGCGTTTGGTGTCATTAAAAGGGTGAGTACATTTTTGAGACACCCTATAGATAACTGTATTGTGAGATGTGATGTCGTGAAGCCTGGCATATGCTCAAAACTACAAAACTACACGTAGTCACATCCCACAAGACAACATTCTTCATACAGTATGTTTCTCATCCTCCACTATCAACCAAAATTATATAAGACGATTAGCCTGGAAACATACGAAAATATTTAGCTGTACATGATTGAAGGCAATGTATTGAGTACATAATGTGATTTACATCCATGGGTATGGAGTTGTTTAATGACAGATATTATTCCATAAGAAAATAACGGTTCAAGTTCTTGGTCAAAAATACATATGTCTTATTTACTGCCAGAATTTATTTCAACTGTCTGCACACAGTTTTACCTGACATTGTTTAGATCCTTACAGAGAAATAAGCACTCCTACATATGTAACTTCTAAATCAGTGATTTTCGAATTGTTAAGAACGAGATTAATTATAGTATAATTCTAAGAATTTGCATTAATATCGTAAAACGATATTTTTAGACATTTCAAACCACACTAATGAAATCACCCAGCTCACATTTTAATAAGAAATTCATGCACAGAAGTTTCATGTGGTAAAAATAGAGTGTCCGGATGAAAGTTATCCAAAATAAAAAATGTATATCTCGAAAAAACTAATTGTCATACACATATCCGGTATATGTTATCGGAAAGGAAAACTCTGAAAGTTTTCTTTTTCATACCCGATATACTCGCATAAGCCGCCACATTTCTGCGCCATGTTAGGAATCACGTGCGCAGAGAGATGGCTGGGATATGAATTGGCAGAGGTGGACCAGTTGCTTGGCCTCCTATGTCGCCAGTTTTAACCCTAATGGATTTTTCTTTTGGGGTTATGTGAAGAACATTGTATATCAGGTTAAGATCGACAACCTTCAACATCTAAAAGGCCTCATAAGGGAGGCTGTGACTGCAGTAACACCAAACATGCTTCAAGCCTGGATATGTGTCGTACCACAAAAGGAGCCCACATTTAAATTTAGCGAGAAAGTTATATATGAAGAAAAAAATGATAGTTCCTTTTTGTAACGGTGTAACTCATTAAAGTGTATAATAAATTCTTTCTGAGATATAATGATTTAATTTTGGATTAGCTTTCATCCGGACACCCTGTATGAATATTTTAATTTGTATGATAAATTTCCACCCTTCTTGTCTTGTTATCAATTTAATGCACGGCTCTAATATTGTCCTTCAGTATTAAATCTCAGGTCGAATGATTCTGTATTTCAGCATCCTGTTGAAATTGTTCAACTTAACCTCCATTATTTATCGTCCGTCATTATTGCAACACTTCCTTATTCACTACTTAATTTTAATTTACACTTTGACACTACATGTTTCGGCCCCAAACGGCCATCTTCAAGTGTCTTGATATGTTATAAATATTTTATTGAGTTATGTTAAAACTGCTACACTGTCTTAGTCCGTGTTAACCAGGGGCATATGGCAGACATAACTGAAAAGTAGGCTATGAACGTGAGGGACAAGCTGCCGAAACAAAACACCCTGGACAGACATACTTTTATAAACAATGGACGACACCCCGTGTGAGGTGAAGTAAAATGCGCCAAAATAACGTGGGTATAATAGAAACTTTAAAGGATTTTATCTGGTTTTACTTTGAAAAGAGAACTACAGCGTGTGATTTTAACATGGGCTAACACAGTGTAGCAGTTTTAACATAATTTAATAAAATATTTGTAACATATCAAGACATCTGAAGATGGCCGTCTGGGGCCGAAACATGTAGTTTCAAAGTGGAAATTAAAATTAGATAATGAATAAAAAAAAGTGTTGTAATAGTGACGGAGATAAATAATTGACGTTAACTTAAAACGAATATTCACACTAGCTGTGTGAAATCAGTAATGCGCTGTAGTTTCGAAGGTTTCTCTTTTCGTGATCACAGGACCTGTGTTTCTGGAGAAGTATGAGGTACCAGATATACGAGAACCAAGGTGCCACTGAGCTGGGCCGGCTTGCACCTCCTTTCATGCATAAGATGTGCCCACACTACTCCATTTCCTACAACCTGACCAACGGTAAGTATATAGCATTCTCTACTGCACCCTCCTGTTTCATACAAAGAATTCTTTTGGGGAAGCTAACAGTTTCTCATCTCTTCAAGAACTTCCCCACCTTTTAAGTAATCCGAAATTTCGCAACCATTTCCAAAGAACCCAAGAGCAATTTGTATTCTAAGCTAAATAAATATAATTTAAGCCCTCAATTAACTAATTTCAGATCGCTTTATTATTATCATCCACCTATCTGCCCTATAACTTCAAATTATATATTCCTTTCTGGTATCCCAACCAAAATTTTGTACATATTTCTCACCTCTTGTATGTGTTCAACTTTCTTATCCCCCTTAATTTGATCAGCCCAGCAATATTTGATGGAAAGTGCAAATTATGAGACGCCCTGCTGTTCATGATCCCTCCTAGTTCCAAATCGTTTCCTCAGCACCCTCTTCTTGTCCATTCTCAATATACACATTTCCCATAATATGAAGTGACCAGGTTTTACACCCATAAAAAGGACAACGAAATAATGAAGAGATTTTTATTTTAAATGGGAGCAACAACGACATTTCCGGGGACGCGGTAGAGTAGTTGGTTGAGGTACTTTTCTACAAGGCTGGCGGTCGCGGGTTCGATTCCCGATGAGATCATTATATTTTTCAATTGGCCTAATTCTTCCAGCCACAATTTCTAACAGAAATGAGTACCAAGGATCTTCTTGGGGGCAAAGGGCGGCCGGTGCTTAAGGCTGACAACCGCACCTCCATCTGTGATCCGACTGTCTAGAAAATGTGGAAGCCTCGACGTCTCAGAATCCTATGGGCCTTCATGGCCTGTTACAGGAATAGCTTTACCTTTTTATAATAAATATATTTCAGAAAATATGATTGTACATTTGTAGACTACGTGCGCGGACAACTTAGTGTGAGGCACTTCTATGCCCCGTACCTACTAACCAGATTGTCTGAGTAATATAACTGATTATTTCGTGCTTAGTCCAAAGGTCAATTATGGAGTAGTAAGCGCGAGCAGAGAAGACAACAGAACACAAACGCGTACAGACAAACAAGAGATAACCGAGGCAACTTGTATCATGACGACATTAGTAATTCAATTACTGTAATTAAGGGAACATTCCTGTGAGAAGAAATGAATATGCTTATTTTCATTTGCATGCAATTAATATTATAACGATTAATACATAATAAGTGCAATTACAAAATATAACTTAGAGAAACGGTTGTTTTCCTTTTTATGATTCAATCAATCTAGCGCATTCCATTAAAACGTATGGAGAATTGCAGATATAGCTCCAGATATTCTTGATCTTGGCACTGCATGGAAGTGAATGGTTGGCTTCATACTCCGACTGCTTTACTCCCGGCTATAGAGCCATCAATACCCTTTGGCTATAAAGCTGAGTGACCTCAGAGTCAATCTGGGGGCTGTAGTGGAGACAAAAGGCCCTAACCCAGAGGAAGTCGAACCCCGGTTTTCTAGCACATCATTCCATATACAGACTTAGATGCTCCAGCTGTCAGAGCACTGTCTTAACAGAAATACTCCTCCTGAAGGAATATTACACACCCTTGCTAGGATCTTAGATGCTTATTAGTTGCATTTTAATTTAAGATCATCTGAATATTCAGTGAGACTATATTCAGTGTTAATATACAGATTTCGTCGTAACTTTCTCCAAAGTTTATTTACACTTTTTAAATTACGATTCTATGAAACTCATTTTACAAAATTCCAAGAAACAAATGTTATTATTATGTTTTTTGTTCTCATCTATTTGATGTTTTCCACTTTGTTATGTGCTGTACGATTCATTTCACTTGCACGCCAATAAGATAAGTCGGTTTAATTCTTCCTTCGTTTCGGTTTATTTAACTACGATTCTAAATGTTAAAACTATACAGTAGCTACTACTGATTCTTAGGAAATTTAATTAATAATGAATTCAACAAGATATGGAAGAAAGGGGCCGTAAAGATGCTTAATGTACTACCCCGAAATTTCCAGAAAGTGCTTTGGAAAACCACAAGAAAACTCAAACAGAAGAGCTAAATTATAAAAGATAAAACAGTTCCGCCCAGTGTAACTGGTGAAGTCTTTCTTATTTAAATTCTTAACGCCCTTACATGTTTCGGTCCTTAGAGACAATCATCAGAGGGACATTGACAGAGTTTGGAAACCACTATTACAATGGATGTTCTGAATGTTAAAATACTCGTAATACACATACAAAGTTTAAAATGCAGAAATAGATACAAAATCCGAATTCCTCACAACTACAGCAGCTATCTTGATATATTAAAATTTTTTAGAACTCTTGTTATTTATATTTAGAATTTATAACCAAATTTTAATAGATAGCCGCTGTAGTTGTGAAAACTTTGGATTTTGTATCTATTTGTGCATTGTAAACTTTATATGTATATTACGAGTATTTTAACACTCAGAACACCCATTGTAATAGTGGTTTCCAAACTGTTTTGATGTCCCTCTGATGATGGTCTCCAAGGACCGAAACATGTAAGGGCATGAAGAATTGAAATAAGAAAAATCTTCACCAGTCACACTGGACGGAACTGTTTTATCTTTTATAATGTTGTTAGTGTGGTGAACCAGAATGAAAGAAATCAAATTCATAGAGGAGCTAAATTTTGTCCAAGATTTAAACCCGAGATCTCCCGTATACGAAGCAGAAATACTGACCGTTCAGTCACTAGATGTCTGACGATACGCTAATATAAATCTACTTATTCGCAAGAGATTAAATAACACTTTCTACCCAATTCAGTCTGAATCTATACTGGTCTCTTTTGGAAGGGATTCAGCTATCGCTGTTGCATGACTCGTTAAAATTCGCTGAGGATTTAGACAGAAATTACGGACAGTCGAACAATTGTGTCCTCAGTATAATGCAAGTCAAGGTACTATATTTAATTGGAGCTGTTTCGTAAACAACAGAAGCATAAAATTGCTTAGTTTGGTTTGATAATTTGACCCCTAGTCAGCTTCTTTATTTAAAGTCCCTGTGATTTCTTTACGAGACCGTCTCTGTAGTCTAGTGGTCAGAGTTCCTGCCACAGATTCAAAGGTCACGGGTTCGATTCGCGGCGCTACTGGAGTTTTCTGAAAAGTAGTAGGTGTGGAGCGGGGTTCACTCAGACTCGTGAGATAATTGTGAAGCTATTTCAAGGAAATAGCGGCTCCGGTCTAGAAAACCGAGATTAACGGCCATGAGGATCCGTTGCGCTGACCACGTGACGCCCTCTATCCTTAAAAGTTGATACTAACTTCGCCGATAAGCGGCGGTCGCTCGGTCGGTATAGTTCGCTTGTGGACTACATGCCACGGAGTTTCTGATTTCTTTAATAGAATAATCTTCAAATCTTAAATCTTAAAATCACAGAAAAAATTTCTCTTTAATCCTCCTGCAAACTGTAGAGCCATTCTGACGCAATTAGTGTAACAATTATGAACCATGGATAGTTATACCTAATAGGGGTACTTGAAGGTTCATCAAGGGGTACGTGAGATACTTATATGTTTATATTGATAAACATAAGTAGCATTGCCCTAATCATCATGTTGATATCATTCATTTATACAAAGATTACTATTATCTGTGTTGTGACGCCGTATAGAACGGTAGAATTTTTTTTGCAAGATAACACTGTGATCGTGAAAAGAGATCAATGTAGATGTTTCGAAGGATTGACACGCTTTCAGCCCATCCGAATAAGAAAGATTGATTTTTGGAATGCCGTTTGTTCTTCTCTCTGAATTTGTCACTTCTTTCCACATCCTTCTCAACCCAGATTTACCTTTATCGGCTTGATGCCATGTTATCTAAAATTAATAAACAGTATGTAAACAAAGGATGTTAGAAATTTAACATAACTGCTTTAGTAAACAATTGACAATACAAATGTTTCTTTCAAACAGGGACGGAGTACGCAAGTCTTGGCAGGGACGGTGTCTCCTTACAAAGCCGAGAGGACCTGGACAGAGATACCGGGCCCAATGAAGCCGGAACTTCGGGCCCGGGGCCAGAACTGCGTGTTCACGTGACCTGTACCGTCAACAGAGGGCGCTCAATCAGCGAGGTTGGGATGACTGTCCGAATAACAGTTTTGGATGAGGACGATAATCCTCCTGTGGCTCAGACAAACAGGCATTTTCTGAATGGATCCCAGCTGAAAGAGGTAGGTGTAAACTTAATGTCACTCTGTCCTTTCTTTGCTCATTATTTTGTTCAATTGCGATGCTCTGTCATCCGCTAAAATATTGTAACGTGTATGCCAATTGCTAGGCAACGGGTTGGTAAACACCTGCTCACAAAAAACGCGCCCAACAATAAGACGTCCATTGTTAGGTGACGGACATGCATTCTTGACGATAGAAGACAGTGTTTTCCGTGGGGTCCGTGCCGATAAATTATAAGTGGGAACAGTCAGAATACGCGACGGAATGTACAACAGTAGAGATAGAGTAGCTGGGTATAACAGTTAGTTGTAGTCGAGAAATTGGTGGACTTCTGGAGATGACAGTAAAAGGTGATTGAGAAGAAAGGGCAAGAAAGTAATTAGACTGTGCCAAGACGAGTTCGCATGTGATTTTAAGTTACAGTGGGACTGTGATAAATCCGTTGCCGGGATACGACTAGTGAAGACTGAGAGTCCTAGTACATGCGGCACGGTTTAGAATAGAGATCGCGAGGTAACTAACTGCAATCCCAAACTCTGTAAATGTAATAATCATGCAGTCTAAAGCCCGTCTTGTAAATCACCATAACAAGTGACAGTTTTGTATTACAGCATCCTGTTACATTATTTGAAGCTTATAAAGGTGAAAGGTAAAAGTGAAGTCTCTGCGTTTGAATAATTAAGTACCACGCCATGAAGACGTATGGTGGAGTGGAAGTATGTCCCAACTTTGTTGACTTCAGCGCTTGATGGAGGTGACTGTTGGGCTTCAACGCTTCGGCTGCTTTACTCACGGGGAAAGAGCCACCGATACCCATTGTATAGGAAGCTGGATGGGCCCCAGAGCCGATCTGGACGCTGTAGAGAAGAAAATCCCTTGCCTTTGTCGGGAATCAAACCCCGGACGTCCACTCCGTAGCCCGTCGCTATACTGACTGATCTCTCCCGGCTCTGATTTGAAAGCTTATATATACATACATGTACACAGACACCACTCAGTGTCATAAATAACTAGTAATAAATAAACAATTTTAGTGTGAACTTGACAACCTTGTGATAAAACGGTTCGATATAATTCTGTCAGAGCTTTTCCGCAAATCATCTAAAGTATAATCCTAAATTATATATTAAATATATCGAAAGCATGAAGAAACCATTTCTCTTTCCAAATTAATATTGTGTCCAGAGTAAAATATTTGGGAAAAATAAGAGAGACTTTCATTCTAGGCCTTGATACACAAAACAAATACCGTATTTACGCATGTATAGGCCGCGTGCGTGTATAGGCCGCAGCACAATTTTCAGACAGAAATTATAGAAAAAATAATTTTCTTGGAATATTATTTCAGGAGTATTACACCCTGTATTACTAATTATGAATATAATTTTTTTTTAAATGAAGTGTGATTTCGAATATTTCGAATATAAGCCGCACCCCAGTTTTCCTCTTGAATGTTTGGCAAAAAATGTGCGGCCTATACATGCGTAAATACGGTATATCTTAACCTCGCGTCAGTTCCTTTACACTATTCAGGGGGCCAACTAAATCAATAAAACATAATTTTACTGGTAGCTTGGAGCTCCTCTGGGTTCGCCTCTCAGCAGACAAAATTGGCATTCATCCGAATTGCGCAACAGAAGAAAACAACAATGACGTCACTGCCGGTACAAAGTAGTGACGTCACAAATAACGCCGGTGAACATTTCTTGCCTTGTATTTATCGCTTCTTTGAAATAATAGTAGATCTTATTCCTGGGTGTCAGTGTATTCAAGCTTTGGAACTGAAATGCAGTGCCTCTGAGGTCTATATGGATCGCAGTAACCGCGTGGTCGAAGGCATGAACTCTCTTCGCTCGCTCAAACTCTGGGATCGTGGGTTCGAATCTCATTCAAGGCTTGGATGTCTCTGTGTGTTTATTCTATGTCTGTGTTGTCCTGTGTGTAGATACCGGACTTGAGACGGCCCAATCCCCCGTCCAAGGAGTCCTACCGACTGTGTACAGAATTAATAAACCGTAAAGCGGCCAAACACCGGTCACGGTAGCCGAACGGTCTAAGGCATGTACTGTCTTCGCTCGCTCGGAAGCCGGGATCGTGGGTTCGAATCCCACTCAGGGCATGGATGTTAAGTTTGTGTGTGTGCGTTTTTCTGTGTTTGTGTACAGGTAGAGGCCTTGCGCCCAATTAGTAATTTTGTAACTATTAATAATCGTCACTCATTAGTACTGTAGCATGTAGACCAGTCGCTAAATAATGACTTTGTAAACAACGCTTGTTGATAGGTAACAGACTTCTAATATGCTCTAATTAACTGGCTGGAAAGCGGTGTTTTCTGTGCGATCCGTACCTAGATGATATAAGCAGGACCATTAGTGGTGTGAGAGCAGAGAAGGGAAGATTTCATTGGTGAGTCAGTTTGTCAGAAAACTGCAGTTCAGTAATTCTAAGCCTTTGCTGTTAGAAACTGGTGCTGAGGAACGGGGATAGTTCAGGAATCCATAGTAAGGGGATCGTCCGCTGTTGGAAGCCATCACCAGGCAACGGCTAGTGGAGACCCTAATAGACTGAGAACACTAGTATGGTGCATATTAGAAATATGTAAAATGTGGTCACGAATTTTGCAAGTATTCAGCAAATCCAGTTACCAATCCGAACCTCGTCTACAATCACTTCAAGCACATGACAGTATCATCATAAATACATTAATGAGGATGAAGTTAAGAAAGATAAAATGAGTGGGACACGTAAAGCTGAAGGCCGAGAGATTTTAGTCGGGAATCCAGAAGGAAAAAGACAAGTTGGAAGAACTAAAAGTAGACTGAATAATATGATATGATCATGGTCTGCCATGTGAGTCCGAGAATTGTACTACATCGCTGTATTCCTAGGATCTATAGTAGCTCTCCCGCTACTGCTTCAAGAATATTGCTTATTACAAATAAACGAATGCAGATATATGTACAAGGATTTAGCATAATGCTATTAATTGTAGGGTTCTTCAGGCAAAGGATGAATTAAAATTGAAGCAGAGGATAGCGTGTATAGATTCATAAAATGAGAGTCGTTTGTTACTCGTATTGTTACCATCATTGTTGTTATTGTTATTATTATTATTATTGAAATTATTTTTATTATTATTGTAAATATATTCGAGAATTTTAATTTCAACTATCTGTTATAGCACTAACATTTCTAATGTCAATCTACCAGATTTTCCTCAGCTCCACCAGAAAAATTTTCTGATAATACCTCAAAACTATTCACGACTTTTAGCTCGCGTCATCAATGCAGTTGAAAAACGCTTCGTTTAACGAACACGTAATCGTTCGCATTAACGATTGGCTGACGAAGATTTTAACAGAAGTGTCACCTTTTGATTCTCTTAAATTTTAAATTACCTCTCACAGTATGTGCGTGTGTGTGTTGGGGGGGGGGATTAGTTCTTTGGGATGTGTAAGACAGAGGACAAATGTCAAGGTTTCGTGTGAGTATGCTAAAAACAGAAAACGTAGGTGTGACATCTCAGCCGTTTAAGCAAAAAGTTTCCACGATTTACATAATGACGCCCACTTAGCTTAGCAAACGTTCCACTCACTTTCCTGAGACAGAAAGTGAGAAAGAGGGTGTGTGCTTGTGTGGGTTGTGAATGTGAGGTTTCGTGCGGGTGCGTGCGTGCGCGCGCTAGGGGATGTATCTAAGGGGGTACGTGTGAGGGTGCGCGTGTTGTAAAAAAAGTTTCCAGTTTCCTAATTTTAAAACAAATGCATTTCAGGTTTTGTAAATTAAAATATTTATCTCCATGATTTATTTAATCCGTCTTGCAGTGCATACACTCATTTATCTCCTTCTCTCCCTCGCACTACATGTTTCGGCATAATAATGCCATCTTCAGGTGCTTACTTATCCACGTCAAACCAGTCAAACATAGTGAGGGGCGACGTAGCGATGTGGTATCCTGAACAATTTTAATATTTTTAACGTTTGACAATGTATATGATAGATACATATTTTAGTTATTTTAATGTGTGAACATGGCATGCAATGAACTGGTTTGACGTGGATAAGTAAGCACCTGAAGATGGCATTATTATGCCGAAACATGTAGTGCGAGGGAGAGAAGGAGATAAATGAGTGTATGCACTGCAAGACGGATTAAATAAATCATGGACTTAAATCAGTGCAACAGGACGCTAAAATATAACATTAAAATATTTATATATTTTTTACGAATTAAGGAAATTAAACAACCTGTCTCTGATGTTTTGAGAATTATAATTTATTGAATTTTATTACACAAATTTCTCAGAATATCTGAAGCCACTTAGAGGGACACTGCTCTTTGAAAACGACTGATTCATATTCTAGGGGAAAATCTGCATCCATTAAACATTGACATGAAGCGGAATATAGGCACTGTATTTCATATTAAATACATGAAAAGTAATTATGTCAGGTCTGAGGTTCTCACGCGGTAAGTATCAAGATTGGGGTCTTCTCAGATGTGGTGTGTTGTAATTTGTTAGATAGAACCAGCACTTCGGAGGAATTTTCTGCCTCTATCGTAAGGATAATAAAAGCAATATCAAATAACGTTAACACAAATATAAATGTATAAATAACTTGAATAAACAAACGTCATGTAACCGACTGCTAGTGTATTCCAGACGACCTGTAGCTAGCCTTGTCACTGAGGCCGCCGTAAAATGACAAAATATATCTCAAAAGTAGAAACGTTAGAGAAGGAACCAAGATAAATCCGTTACATTTGATAACTTTTATATACTTATTAATACTGAACACCCAATTGTCGTGAAAGCATTTGTCGAGAGAGAGGAAATTCTGTGCTGTTGCTTTGATGTACATGTGACTGGAAGTTCAAACGTTCAATACCTTAGACGCGGTCTCTTCGCTTGTACCGGCTGCATGAGCGTGTAATATGAACGAACTAATTAGAGACGAGTTCTCAAAAAATTACAACAAACTGTAAACAAGATGGATA